GGGGGGGGAACTTTACATAGGGGGTTTTGTTGGCATAAAACAATATTTTTTCAGAGTTACCAGAGCATGTGGAGATGTATACGGAGTTGATACCGTTAGAGTGCATCGGACCCCACTCTCTGACTTCATCTTATCGCGTTGCGCACCGTCAGACCGGTGAATATTTTGCTATGCGTCGTCTGCACTCGTATGCCTCGATTCCCAACGCTCGCATTGATCTCTGGAAGCAGTTGGATCATCCCAATGTGGTTAGACTCCTGGAGTGCTTCCCCACCGCAGCTTTTGGTGATAACTGTAAGTATAAATTTAATGTCCGTTTCCACTGTTTAAACAATATATATGGGGCCTAATTTTACTCTTTTCATTCCCATCCTTTTCGCATAAAGATAGGATGGGATGGATGGACTTAACGAAGGATGCATAGGAATGGGAATGATTTTGTTTCTGTGCATCTCCGTCGCTTCGCTAGTTCGGCGAATTTAAGCGGCCATTTTATTATAAAAAATTAAAAAATTGTTACCGTTATAACATAGTTATTTGATATTTAATTATTTCTATATAGGCAATGTGAAAAAAAGAATGATTAGTTTTAAAAATTGAAATACCAAAAATTTTATTTAATTTTTTGTTCACACAAAAGATAAATAAAATTAATTTCTGCAGTTTTATCATCATCATCATAGCACTTATAAATTTGCATTTCATGTATCAATTATATGATTTTTTTTACATATATATATATCTTTTACAGCTTTGGTGATGGTGTATGATTATCACCCCGGCTGCGAGACGCTGATGAGCAAGTACATTCGCAACAACAACATGGGGAATTCATCTGACGCCAATGGCACTTTACATGATCCATTCTCATCTGATCCGGATGCCCCGCGTCCTTATACTCATCAGGTAACTACAACCAATAATATAATTAATTAAAAAAATATTCTTACCAATTAACGTGTGTTATAATGACGATTAATTAAAAAAAACTATACTTGTCGAATACCTCACTCTTCTAAAAAGGATCAATGGCTTTAGGCAACAATGAAATACAGATACAAAAATTTTATCTCGAAAAGATAACATTCAAATTATTTAGGCAAAAATGTCTAGCAGTAATAATTCTCATAACCTTTCTAATTGAATAAGAATATAAATGCAATAAAATCTAAAAGATTAACCTATTATATCTATCTTTATATATATAATTGTTCTGTGAGTGTGTATGTCACTGAACTTCTCTCAAACGACTGGACCGATTTTGATGAAATTTTTTGTGTGTGTTCAAGGGGATCTGGGAATGGTTTAGATTCACAATTTTCATCAAATATTAACTTCATATTAATTTATTCAAATTAAAGACGTGTAGACAGGACAACGTCTGTCGGGTCCCCTAGTATTATTAATAAAATTGCTGTCTGTATGTAAAGTAAAAAAAAAAACATTTCATAAATATGCACTTTTGTATGTCTGTTCGTTGATGCTGAAGCTATTTGCCATTGTGTTATTAATAGTATTATTTTGTTGTATAGAAAAACGCGATGCTTCGTGCTTTGGCTTGCGGTGCATTACTCCCGGAGGCGGTTCTGTGGAGTTTCCTCGTGCAGCTGACTGCTGCC